GTTGTCAATGTATAATCTGGAACTTGGTCTCTGTTAATTTCAGTTTAAATAAGCAATAGATTTGGAATTTTTGAGCCACTAAGCCAATTCATACAGACAAACATTACAATTACATAAGTTCCTTTTTTTCTTAGAAGCAACTGATAATTAAAAAGAAACAGGAAAAAAAAGGAAAAAAAAAAGATTCATTGATTTTTTTTTTCCTCCATAGTATAGCCCTTGAAAAAAGAAGCAAAATGCTTCTAAAAAAGACCTGTTCCAGCATATTCAGCCTTTTATTTGTTTATTTGTCAGATATCAGTCTGAAGTCATTTTTTCATTTAACTGCTCATAGTCTGTCTTAGAAAAGCTTTGGACTCTTCAAAGTTTTCATTTTTTTTTAAATGAACTAACTGAGGTTTGAGTCTCTGTTGGAGGTATAGCTGTCCTTAAATGTCTTATGGAAACCCTCTTCTTCATTGATAGAGTATTATGGGATATTACTAATTGCCTTGTAGGCAATTGGCATAAATGACTGCCATCCTGAGGGACTGCTGTTGTGAGAGAGCTTGCAGAAGAATAAATGAGTGTGAAGTTGAAACCTGGAGGGACTGTTTCTTTGGTGTACTAGGATGTGAAATCAGAAAATGAATATCTTCTCTTGTGGAGTGATTGGATTACTGCATTTTATGGCTACTTATATACTTAGCACATTCAGTAAGCAAGTTGTTAGTTAGGGTATTGTTGAAGTGGCCTGTCAGAATACATTTGTCTGTGCATTAACATCCTAAAGAAACACAGGAGGGTTATCTTGTTTAACCTGCACCAAGAAAGGGCCTTGTCATCTCTGATGGTCAGGTTTTGAAAGAGCCATTCAGTTTAGGTCATTCTTGAGTTATCATTTAGCAAACTGTCCAAATTTCACATGTTCTGTCAAGAAAAATCTTAGCTTTGAAGATGAATGGTAGTTTGGTCTCTTCTGTGCTCACCTAAGTAGCAATGATGTCTTTGGAGTGACATATTTTGAGCATTCAAGAAGAGACAGTCACTTGTGGTGAGATGGTGTGATTGTTGTTTTTTTGTTTTTGTTTTTTTTTAAGTTTTCCCAGACGTCTGGGGTTTATGAGTGAGGTTTCATGTGACATTATCCAACTGATTTCCAAAGGAGAACCACTTTCTGCTCTTCCGTCTATTAATTTTCTAATGCAATCAATGAAAGCAATCAGATTTTCTTCATAGAAGTTAACATGGGACTAATCGTTATTGACAAGATTAGGTCAGGCTCAGATTTTGCTTCACTTGACATCGGCTGTGTAAAAGATGATTTTATAAACAAATTGTGGATCTGGTAGAGGATCTGAACCTTGGGAGTGAGAATAGCATAAAGGTATCAGAAATGCTAAGTAGGAGCTAAAGAACCAAAAAATTCACCAGAAGATCTTTACAAAATGTCTTTATCTCATCTGGAGCTGTAATTTCTACATGCTGGTAGCATTCTGTTATGGGCCCCTTGCTTTTTCACGGCCTTGAGATAATTAGGACAGAGCTATCAGCAACAGAATCTTTAGTAGTGACTATGCAGTTTACAAATCCAGTCTGAGAGTTCATCTGTGATGGACAGAATGAAGAATTTTTAAAATAGGATTTACTGTGCATAGAGGATAACGCAGTGTAAGTGCAATTTAAAACAACCCATTGAACTGCAGCGCAGTGAACACTGTTTGACATACCCATGCTGCACCACTGCGAAAAGACAGAAGTATGTGCTGTGAAATTTTACAGATATCACGACAGTATAGAAAGATCTTAATGTCCTGAAGTTCATCCTCTAATTAAATTGCATATTCCTGCTGCATTTTTTATATTGCAGTGTAGAAATGCTTTTGCAACACTAATGGGAAAGCTACGTCAGCATTTCCCTCAGTCTTGGGTGCATTATGTCATTTTAGCAACTGTATCATTGTATTCTTTGTTGCCAATGCAGTTCTAATCCTACTTGATTCACCAGCAACTTTTGATTTTGCTGACCATAAAAAATTCGTTCACAGCCTTGAGCAACCTTCACTTTTTGCTTTACATTGCTTTATCTTCCTCTTCTCCCTCAGTTCCACCCATTTACCTTTTGTGCAGACCAGTCTAAGGGATAGCTGTGTCCTCTGTGTTATGCTTGTGGCTCTGCTTGGAGCAGGCAGAGAAACTCATCTGAAATTACATCTCAGTATTCAGTAGTCAGAGGAAAAAAAAAAATATATATATATATTTGTTACTTATTCTGGTTTTGATCCTGCATTGTATAAAAAAAACGATAATGAAACAGAATGTGTGCTGATACTCTTATCAACACTGCTGGTATTCACAGAGAAAGTGCCTAAAAATCTTAGATGACAACACTTGTTAGCTTTGTTTATGCAATATACATATGGGCTTTTTCATCTGCTTACTGGTGGGATTAATGTAGTTCATGTAGTTGTTCACATTAGAAGTGTTTTAGGGGAGTATTTATAATTTTGGGGAGTATGTTTTTAGCATACGCCTGTTATTCCATTTTAAAAATGGGCTTGTTAGTAATTACAATATGCCTTGGGATGTTCAATTTGTTAATATGACTATTATTGATGGCTATTAATATCTTGATTTGATAAAGTAGACATATAATGAGCTAAGTATATTTAATAGGAATACAGAAATGTATGAGAGTAATCTATGGATGCGTCATGCAGCTGCATTGCTTTCTTGTTCACATTTTAAAACTGTGGGACTGCATTAAAGCCCATGAAAACAGAGATATATCTGATATAAACAGACTGTGGCCTCATGGCACAGGACTTACCTTAAAGATGCAAATGAAGATGGCTTTTACTCCAAGTTTTAGGGTAATCAGATTTTAACGTTTTCTGTAGATGCCTGGTAGAAAGTGTTTATGGCTTGGGAACATGAATTACACAATATCATGTAGCAGGCCAGAGGAGCTTTCAGTTTTAGTGTGTGTTATTATTTCCCTCTCACTTCTACTAATCACTGATTTACAGAGATAAGGCATCCTGCAGCCTGAACATTATTATTACTTAACTCAAGGTACACTGTATGTAGATAGTGAGAACACTGATGTATTGGGTGAGATGGTTTAAGCAAAATGTAAGAAGAAAAGTGAATTTCTGAAAAGGGTATCTCAGTGCTAACTGCAGACATCAAGAGTTAAATCAGTCATCTGCATTTTTTATTGCTAATATAAACACTTTAGCAATGCTAATCAGTAGTGCTGATTTTCTGTTTTGATTTTCCTTAATAATTAAGCAAAAGATCGGGAATGCAATCAAGTTTTACACTAGGGGGTTCATGCAAATTTTTTTTTTTAATTTTATTTCATTAATTTTATACTTTGTTAAATGTATCCAAAAGGAAAATTACTGAAGTTGAGAAGAAGAAGAAAAAAAGAAATACAGTTTATGGTCTGCTTAATCAAAGTGACTGCTTCTAATGAGGGAAATCGCCACTCTGTTGAAATTATTAGCTGAAAATACAGCTGCTTTTATTCCTTCTTAAATAACTGCACATTGGCTACTCTGCTATGCAGAGATACAGTTATAGACCGTGAAATGTCCTTCAGCAGCCATGATTTTTCAAGAGAGATTTAGCAAAATGGGATCACCTCTGCGTTCCCAAATATTTCTTTCTGTGAAATTTTCTTTCTGTGTTTTTTTATGTCGACTTCTGAAGAGGGTCCTGTAAAGTAAGACTATTTCATCTCTTTATTTTCATGGATTTATTTTTTTTTTATGATCTCAGAAGCAATATAGTGTTAAAGTTTGTTTGAAAATTGAGATACAAGGTCAAATGTTTACCAGAAGGGGAAGAAGGGTAGTTTGAGCCATTACAGATTATCTTCTGCCAGCTTTCATTCTGGCATTTATGAATTCAAGGTAAGTCAAATTCTAAAAGTGATTTGGTATGTAAATTAAAACTTTGCTTGAAATCTAAGATAGACTCAGTCAGAGTACTGGGATAATCTTTTAGATTTTTATGCTATTAAGGTAATTCATTTATGAGGAGAATGCTTTTGCTATTTGGGAATTGTAAAACTGGGAATGAAGGGGCTATTTATGCAGGCTATATTGGGAATTTGACTTAAAAGAGCAATAACACTAGAATAAAATGGGACACTATCTTTTGACGATTTAAAGCAAATTGATTGAAACTCTTCCTCTGAATAATTAATTTGTTTGCATAGGAATTATTAGTTAGTCAATAAAAGGCACTGTAACATTTTTTTGCAAATTGTTAACTAACGTTGCACGTACTAATAGTGTTGTCTAACATCTGGAAGAATTAATAAAAAAACATATGACACCTCTCCTTATCCCCTGTGGGGAGGTGTTTTGTGTGTGAGCTAAAATCATGGTAGCACATGATGCAGCCTTTCCTGAGCAGACACTGGGCACTGCACCCTTGCTGGCCCAGGTTTTCAGTGCTTAGGCATCCTTAGAGAGACTGTATTGTGAAACCGGTTCATAATTTTGGGAATATGGTTTTAACAGAAAGTGCCACATCAACTGAAGCTGCCTAAGGTCTTTATCTTTTTGAAAAAGTTGGTGCTGCTATCCATCAATGGGGTAGCACAAATCACTTTTTTGAGTAAGTCAAGTTCAGGCTTTTTGATGACATGTTGTCAAGCCAAACCTTTAATTAGGGTATTTTTGTTGTTGTGGTCTTCAGGAGGCTCTAGTCTTTCCTTTAAATTACAGCTGTCTGTATCTGTTATCTGGTAGGGACAACCACCATGAAGCGGTCTGAGTCTGCCTAGCCACTTGCAGAAAACAATTCTATTTTTTTCTACCAAAAATGGACATGTATTTACTGCTGCTGTGCAGGCATCAGGTGTTTCTTGAAGTACCCATTGGTTTCTACCACCAAACCATTGATTATATATATCCTAATAAAATGAATAATTAGTTTTGGCTCCTTTATCATTTGTATAGTATCTTCATAAATCATAAACACTTATATATATATATATTTTACAGGCTACCTTTTTGAAAAGATGTTTCTTCATTTGAACTCCCTTTTTGGATTCCCTGTTATTCTCCTGTACCATTGGCTGGGGACAACTTTATCTTTGAATCTTGAAGATCCAAATGTGTGTAGCCACTGGGAAAGGTAATAGTTTCTTTAACAGAAAACTTGATACAAATACTGATTGTAATAATGTATGTTTTACTAGTATGTTTTACTTAACACATTTTAAATGATTTAAAACTTTCAATCAAATAATGAACTAGGAATAAAATTTTATGCTAACACATGGGCAGAGTAACTTCAGGGTAAATAAAAGACTTTCATGCTGGGGTGAAATGCAGCCATTGTTGTGGTAGCAGTTAGAATGCAAAAACCACATCAGTTGCACAGGCAATGTTATAGAACCATCTAAGGACAAGAAAGGAATCAAAGCTTTTTTTATATATAAGTGAAAAGGAGCTTTTACATATGCAAAATGCAATTAGCCGTATTGGAGTTTGGCCAAATTTGATTATGCTGATTCTTTTCTTTTCAACATTCTTGGAATCTAAATTAAGATTTGTTGTTTAATTTTTTTGATGAGGTTCAGAAATTTGTAACATACAGCTATAAATTCATCCATTTAGTTAATTAATTTGTTCACCAATTTCATGTTAATTGCAAGTAGAATGCTCACAGTGGGTCGAGAGGTTGAACTGCAAGCATTTGTTGTACTTTTTCTTGAGTGAAGATTATAGTAGTGAAACGAGGCCTGAATGTCTCACTGCTGTTATTTTATTAAGGCCATGACTGATCAGCTATTTCCTGAGCAAGTCTAAGTGTTCATTTGAAAACATAAGTATTGTCTTCACTGGAAGTAAATTGTATTTTATGCTGGGAATGCTGCTGAGCTACTGTACATTTATGTGCAATTGATATGGCTAGATCTTTGCAGAGAAAGTTGAAACTTGTATTTAATTTTTTATGAAGTCTGCATATAAAAAAAGGCACTTAAGGACTTTCCTCAGCAATTAATCTCAGCTTGTGTTAAGCAAGGGTAGGAGCAGATACTTTGCATGCAATTTAGTATATACAGTATTTGGTATATGAAGTTACCGTACTAGATACCTCTTTACAACATTCAGGCACAAGCTGAGGTTGTTACTTGATGCTACTCCACGTTGTATCTCCTTTACTTTCTGTTTTTATCCATAAAAGAAGTTTTGAGGGAAGACATACAGTAATGAAAACAAAATGGCAAAAAACAATAATGTTTACAGAGCATAACATGTTTTAAAATGATGAAAGTCTGCAGAAAAAAAAAAAAAAATTCATCAAGCACATCCAGTTTTTGAATAAAGTTTTATCTTTCTCTAATTATTTAAGCCTCAGAAATGAGGAGGAGCTGCAAGTGAACTTCCTGAAACTGGTGCTGTTTCTTAGAACAGGCAGCAGGGGAATGAATACAGCTACAACAGAGTAAAGCCTCCAGATACAAGTTTGTTGTTGCTGCTCTCAGAGGCAGTGCTATAAATCTACCGTATCTGTCATAAAACGATCTTTACAGATGAACTCTGATCAGCAAAAATGGATGAGCTGGATGTGGCGTTCAGCAACAAGCAGGCACAGACGTTTTGTTAGGCTGTCTTACAGCTGGACGAATTAGAGATGCTTGCCTTTTTAGGGCATAGAAAAACAGGGAGTAAGTTCTGGGCAGTGAGGAGTGAATGGACCTGGATATGTTTTCTCTTAGTATAGGTGATGACAGCAGTAGGAGGAGATTGTGGTCATTACCCTGTAGTAGGTGCTGAGGGGTCAAAGGTGGCATGGAAATTCAGATGGGCTGTACACTCAGCAAGTGTTTTGATTGCTCCTGGGAACCAGTGCTACAACAGGGAGAGACCATGCATTCCCATATTTTCTAACCCTTTTACGCAACCAGGGACTGACAGGCTGCCAGCACAAACAGTCTGCACAAGAGTTTTCTAGAGTGATTCAATATTTTTCCCCACTGCAGCAGAAGATCTCTTCCTCTGGCCCCACTGACAGCTCTGGAGGATCTGGATTTCAGAGCACAGATTTATTTCTAGGACACCACACTCATAATTTGGCAGAAAGCAGTAAAAGACCTCCAATATAAAAAAAAAGGTTCTCTGTTCAAAATTAAACAGAAAACAAGCAAGCAAAAAGCGTGGACTTAAATATAATTTCTGACTGCTGAACAGACTGTTGGCTGGCACAATTGTTTTATTTATATTGTTTCAGTAATTATTACCTCTATGTATTTATATTGTACCACCCACTTTCATATCAAAGTAAATTGGCAGACCTTCCCACTCCTGTGTCAATGTTTTATTACTTTTAAAATTAAACTTTCTGGAGAGTTTATTTGGATATGAATATTTTGTTAATTTTTGTACCTTTATATTTAATCATTTTTTTTAGGATTTTTTTGGATAAATATCTTATTAATACATTAGGGTAGTAATAGTAGCATTCAGATTGTAGACAAAAGTGCTAGCATACTACGTGCAGGTCATTGGTAACAGGTAGATATTCGGCTGAAACTGACTATACAGTTTTGCTTGTGAGCGTACATGGAGAATCATTTTAGCAAACACTCTGCCTTGGAATGCAAAAAAGTTTATGTCAGGGTCATGATAGTCTGTTGCTAGGTATGCTATGAATGTGTGAGCCTCCAGGAGCTACAGAATATGACTTAAAAATACGACTTTTTATCAGTTCTAACCACAGCTACTTATCAGGACTTTATAAAAGATTTAATTAAATCAGACTGTACTGTAAAACACTTGCTCAATAATATGTCTGCCCTCTCTCTGTCTCTCCCCAGTTATTCAGTTACAGTGCAAGAGTCATATCCACATCCTTTTGATCAAATTTACTACACCAGTTGTACTGACATCCTAAACTGGTTTAAGTGCACACGACACAGGTGATGTATAATTGCTAATATTGTCAAAATATTGGTATTGTATGTATTTGTAGAGATCTTATGTCTGTTGAAATATAGCATGATATATAGGATATTTTAATTGTAGTCACTTATTTGTGTAATATGTAAGGTATCTGACAACTGGAAAATGCCTAATCCAAGCAAATTCACATTAATTTTATTAGCAGGTTAGGGTATATCATCCCATAGATATCTAACAGAAAAAGAACAAATTAGAAAAAAAGTATGCAGTAAATTAAATTAATTTCCCCAGATCCTGTCAGATGTATTTGTTCCAAAATGTCATGAGACACCTTGCTGCTTTGAACCTTATTTTCTGGGGAAAATGTATGTTACTTGAAAGGGAAGTATAACTATATTATTTGATGATGTCTAGAAGTCATCTGGCCCAATTCTTCTGCTCAAACAGAACCACCTAGAACAAGTGGTCCTGCATCACATCCAGATGGCTTTTGAATATCTCTAAGGAAAAATTCACGATATCTTAAAGAGCATTAAGCAGCATTTAACCAACACAATGTCTCTGTCCCTACAGAAACCAACTCACCTTTGTAAAGATAAACCCCAGAAGTCTCTACCTTGGAAAGTGATTCCATGAGTGATACAGCAAATGGATTTGTTTTGCTAGCTTTTAATCTTCTTTGGGGTTGCTAGTTGTGAAGTTAGTGATACTCTTGTTTGTGCACTGCTTAAGTAGCTAGAATGCTTAACTTTACTGTTGTTTGGCCACCCATGGAAATAAGTTTTTTTGGGGAACCACGAAGACTCTTGAATTCAGCGATAGATAAATAAAGGTCTCTTCTTGGAGTGTTTTTTTTTCTCCTTTTATAATGGCTGTAGATTTTTGAAGATACATAAGAATATAAATTGTTCAATTTTCGAAGTGAAATTTATGCAACAACCATTCATTCTTTCCTTTAGAATCAGTTACCGTACTGCCTACAGACATGGTGAAAAGACAATGTACAGGCGTAAATCCCAGTGCTGCCCCGGATTTTATGAAAGCAGAGAAATGTGTGTCCGTAAGTCCAGCTTTTTTTTTGCTTTGATATTCTGTGTGTTTAGTGCCTTGCTCGCTCCCTTTTGATGGCTCGACTTGGAGGAGGTGAGGTACCAGAGCCTCAGTTATTCAGAGACAGTCTTGTGAATATGCTGTCATTTGCTATACTATGTATGTGCATATGCTTTTATTAATTTTAGGGAAAAGAATGGGAATGCGCTGTATGGGAAAACAGATATTTCCATTCCTTAGTTTCCAGCTGTTCCTAGTGTTGCCTCCTCCAGCCAAGACCCGGACTGGCTGGCCTACACACAGTGCAGCTCCGGATGAGGCCCTGGCCAAAGTCACCGTATCTGTTACCTCATGCCTCCAGCCTGCATTATGCTGCTTTACCTCTAGTGCTTTTATCTCAAGATTCATTGCTTTATCATTTCCCTTATTGCTACAGTGACAGTGGTAAACCTCCTCCAGTGTTTGGAGGAGCAAAACCTCCTCCAGCAAACTTTCTGCAAAATTGTGGATAATGAGAGGTTTGCCTTCGCCACTGGAATTTGCTACCAAGTTTAGGAGAACACAGTGAAGCAGATAAGTCGTTAGTCTGAAAATTAGTTATCAATATATACACTGAATTTATTTATTCAATATAAATGTGAGTTTCTTAATTTGTTCTGTCTGATTCATATTTAAAATTACACAAGAATTAAAATTCTCCTGTGGAGCTAACTTTGCATTTATTTGATTCTGCAGTCACTGACCTGCATGAGCATGAGGGTCCTTCACTCCTCATGACCTCCAGTTGGAGTGAGAACTCCATTTCTTCAGGGAAAATGGAGGAGCTCAGTGTTTAACACAATAAGAGAAACATTTTGTGCTCTATGTTGTTTCAGCTGATTTTTTTCACTTAATATGTTCTGGAGTACAGAACTTATACATTCTGTACTATACATTCTGCACTTACACATCTGGAGTAGACTTTACCTGCATACAGTGTGATATGGCTGGTTGTCCATTTTAACTTGGAAAACAAGTGTGATGTTTTCAACTGGAATTAGCCTGTAAGGGACAGTGACATGAGGAAGACTCTTCTCCTGTATCACTGAAGCAGAAATATCACTGTCAAAAAACCAACACCAATTGTTTCTCCAGAAGAAAATGATGACCATATTGAAAAACACATGCACTTCCTCTCTTTTTCATATGTTAAGATAAAAGAGGATAAGAAACAAGTGTTGTAGATATCTTCTTTCTTGTCATAGCTGCTCTGCAATGCAGACAGGATTTCTGTTAGAGTTGTTTCCATAGTGTGAATTATTTTTTACTTTGGGGAGGATGTAGAGGAGAAAAATAACAATAGAACAGTAAAATACATCTGCTGTTGATATGCTGTTCTATATTTGCTCCTTTATTTGACTTCTCAATATAAAAAACTCAATTAGAAAATTCTACTGGTAGATGATTTGGGTATTAGTCAACACTTCACTGCATACAGTGATGAACTGAAATCCCGTGACTTCCTTTTGAAAATAATGATTGGGAATTTACAGCATGAACTCTCACAATTGGCTATTCCCCTATGGTAAATGCTTACTAATGGTAATGCTACTGCACTGCTTATTATGAGAAGAAAATTGCTTATCACTGTATGAAGCCATTGTAAAAATGTGGTAGTCTTACATTGCTGAAGGCTCTAAATGTTGTATTCATGTAGGAAAAGAATGACCAATAGTCAGATAAAAGCATAGTCTGAATTTTATGTATTATACATACATACTTTTCAGAATCTTTCTGAGTCCAGACTGAATAGATTAACTTGAATTTATCTTAGGACAAGGTGCCTGTGGAATTGTGACTCTAACTTTAATACTTGTTCTGAAAACTTTCAGTAGATGAGACTTACGTTAAATTCTAGTTTTGGTGAGTTACATTTGTGTTTTATCTTTGGATTCAGTAGGTAAACTTGCACATGGAAAGTATACAAACAGGCCTTTTTTATCACTTACACAATATTTATTTTGTTTGCTTATTCTTCACTAAACAACAAATGACCATTGTACTGTTAACTGTCCAAATTCAGACACAGAGTTTTACAGTAATCTTCTTTTGGTTAAAGCTACCTGTAAGATTATATATTGCGGTTAAATTATATCTAAGCTTATAGTATCACAGTTAAAAATCAGCACTTTAAATACAGATACGATCACTACCAATAGGCTGAAAAAAAACCTTCACAGCTTTTTTTCCCAGAAACAGTTAACTAACCTTAGTAGCAGAGACTATAACAGAAACAAATAGTGTCAGCAGTACTCTCATCAGCAGAAAAACAACATTGATATAATGTGTTTAGGTTGAGTTCAGGAAGGTCCTTCTGAAACTCCCCAAAAGAATTACCATTTCTTCATTTTGCAACTAAAGTTGAGGCTTCATATCTCCTCACACAATCTTTGATCAGATAATAAATCTGATTTTCAGAAGGCACTTATAGATGGCTTCCCTAAAGTCAGTGGTGAAGCCATGTTTAACTGGTACAGTGGGAGCACCATCAGCATCTGCTTAGAGTACCAAACATACAGAAATGCCAAATAAGCTGCTGCTGAAAAAAAAAAAAAAAGAACAAGGAAGTCTGATAAACAACTCATATACCCATTCTTCCAGTGCTTCTGAGTTTGTGGAAATGGTAAGATATTCACACTACTGTTAAGCAGTAAAGCAGCACCAAAAGTTAGTCTCCATCTGTAGCCTTTGGAAGCTTTTCCAGGAACCTCTTGAGAAAGGTTAATATTTTAAATTATGTTAATAAATAGGACAAATCAGTATTTTTTCTATGTAACCTTTGGCCAGTAGACAGATTCTTTTGCAGAGTAAGTTAATTACAGCAAGGAGTATTTAGCCATTCTGAACACAAGCTTCACCACCCTTTAGTAGTTGTGCCACCTGAGTTTGCCTTCAGGTGGATAGAAATCCAAAATTTTTACTTAAATTCCAGCATTGCATTAGGCATCAGTACTAGAATGTTTATAAGCTGGAGCATATCAGTACTTCCACTGCTACATTGTTCTGTAAACTCCTTATATAACTCCTGTTAAAAAAGGAGATTGAGTTTCTGATTTCTGGCTTCAGTACTGACAGCTGCAGAAGGGCAGGCCAACTGTGGCTTGGCTGTTGTTTTTTTTTACCCCTTTATTTATTTATTTCCTCTTAATGACTGCAGTGCATTTTTTAGAATATTTTATAGGTTTCCTTTAGATATAGCATGACACTAGTTCATGGTTAGACCTAATGGACTTCCTGAGGTGATCTGAACTCTGCAGGCAGATTCAAAGGTAGATTCATTTTATTAAGTTTTATAAAGCAATTCACTCTTATACTTGAAAACTCCACGCTTAGTCTTTTATTTATTCCAAATTATTTGCTGTCACTTTTGTCCTCAATCTCAAGGAGATTTGTCCTATGGATACTAGGCTGGGCTCCACACTGGGATGGTTTTACAAAAAAGCATAATCATCTCTTTTTTTTTACATTTACAAAATCCACCCAATTTTTACCATCTTTCTGAAATGAAGGAGTTCAGGCATTAAGACATCTGTTGATTTGTTGTGTATTGACAAAGTAGATTAATCCTTGCAGCGTTTTGGTAGCATGAACATTAACTTTACATACAATTTCTATGGTCTAACAGATTCCTAAGAACACTAAGGAAGGATTAAGCCTATTGAATTTCCCTGAGATGGGAAATGGAAAATAGGCAGACTATGGGGAGAATTAAGAATCTATCTTGATGTATGTAACTGAATACCACTCACCTTAACAAAAAAGCAGATAGCAAGCAGAGGAAAAAAAAGATTGACCAAAGGATTTGTTACAACATGCAGTGTAGAAGGAAGGACTTCATTTGGAAAAGGCACATTTATACTGCAGTTCAAAAGGTACATGAATTTAATCTTACACAAAAAGTGCTGAGGGACCATACTTTAATTAAGGTAAAGGAAGTTGCAGGTAATTTTTGTGTGATATCTAAGAATTCTTTTTCATTTTGAGTATAAATTATTTATGCACTCAAACATCGCTCATAAAATTTTGAGACTTAAATAGGTAAAGAAGCTTATTTTACCTGAGAAATGGGATGTAACTCTTCAAGTTATTCTTTCCAAAGGCTGCAGGTATCCAAATATAGTTAGAATGGTATTAACAGAATGGCAAAGCACGGAGTCATGCATTTGTTGTGATTTCTTTTGTTGGAAATAATTTCTGTGAAAAATAATATGCAGATGTACTTAATACCAAAAGTAGACCTCATTCAATTATCACTCTGTTCTTTCCAATATTAATTCTCCTTGAAGTTGATCAGGATTTCACTTAATAGGAGGTTTCAGGTATGAAATCAGATATGACTTCAAGGAACTGTTTATTTGATGACGTGACTCATTTGTTCAAAATCTGGAAGTGTAATCTGGGAACTGTAGTGGATTCTCCTGCTCATTTATCTATGTGCATAATTACAATCAAAATATTTCAGGCTTTTATTAATTTTAATTGATTTGCATCTGGTTTTTAAAGGGAATAAATTACAGATATAAAAATGCATGCATGAACTTTAATTAAAGGCAAGAATATTCTTTTTCACATCTTACTACTGGAAATACTTTTCTATCTTTTTACATTAGGTAATGGAATGCACAGCTGTCTAAATGTTGTCAGTGGTGACTTATGATTAAACAACTACATGTCACTTTCTTAATCATAGAGAACAGATTCATAAAATGCCATTCAGAAATTTCAAGTTTTATGTTCCACTTTTCATATACTCTCCAACTCAGAAGTGATATGAGATGCTGGAGTTACTCCTCTCAGCTGTGATATTTAAAGTAGTAGGAGGAGCAGTCTGCATCTGCACTGCATGCAGTATGCTAGAGTCCCTCATCATTTATGTAGGTGTTTGAATTGCAGTCTTCTCTTGAGCTGAACACCATCTCCGTCCTCTCTTTGGTATCATTATGAGCCATATAATCAGTATGTAAAAATGGCATCTTGATCTAAAATTGCATTACATACACTATGTTTCTTGACTGGCTTAGCTCCCTTGGCAAAAGCACCCCTTCCAAAACTGTGGTGATGCAGCATGTCTACAATTGATTGTTTTCTGAGAACCCTTGCCTCACTTCATTTTCAGCTTGCTGTAATTGTGGTATTGATGGCTTTGACACTTAAGACACATCTTTCCAATCTGATTCATGTTGCTGAGTTTGCTCAGCAGGGCATTTTTATTTGGCTGGTGGCAGAAACACAAGTGAGCTAGGAAGGGAACTTGAGAAACCAGGTGACCCTCTGTCTGGGGAACTGGGAAGGATATTTTATGGATGCTTCAAGTTGGCTGATGATACTGTATAGTCAGGAAAGGCAAATCTTCCTCCTGTGCTTAAGAAAATGCAAAGATGTGATCTGCTGAAGTATAGATACGTGAGTTGGACAAGGTGAAATTTTAGGGATGATTCTGAAGGAAACAATAAGACACAGAAGAATGGGGAAAATAAGATGAAAAAGCAAATACAACTGCAATCTCTGATTGCTTTTCATATGATAACTGATTTTTGCTTAGAAAGGAACAAGGTATGATTTAGGCAATTTACTGCCGTCAGTGAATTTTTGGTGGTTCTTTGCACTGCTCAGTTTCAAAGACATTTCAGAATCAGTTTTTCATTTGCTTTTGCACATAAGTGTTTCTTTACAGCTTGTGTAAGAGGAATGAGAAAATTCTCTCTGTTCCTGATGTCATTTAGGCCTATTCAGCTTATTTTCTAGTACTCTTCACATTGCTTGCACCTTGCATATTTTTAGATCATGTAGTAAACTATGGTTCCTTTGTCCCCATATGCATTGCAAAAATTTTGGTATAGACAGTCTCTTAGGAATGTTAACTATAGTTCTGTTAACAAGAATCAGTTAGACTAATTAGTGTATACAGAATAATTCTTTTGGTTACCAAACAGGTTTTTATGTATATCTGGAATATAGAGGGAAATTGTTCCTTGTTTGAATATATTTTTTGGCATTAAGAAACTTAAAAAAGAAAACCAGGATTTTAAAAATATATATACTTCTAAGATCTTGGCTTTAGTTCAACCTCTTCAAAGTAAAGAATTACATGTTACCCTACTTTCAGAAAGAAGTTTATGTATTTGTATGCCACATATTTTAACTGTTTTTGAGATTGTTTGGAAGCAACATTTTATAAGGTTCATCAATGTTCTTTATCCACATGTATTCTAATTTGTAGAGTCAGCAGAGTTTTGGATGTCAAAAATGCATACATCAGTAATGATGTTGGGTTTTGTGCGTTGATATTCATTAAGATTTTCACACAGAGAGACATATGTTTGCTCTGCTACCTCATATTGTCTTATGGTTTACTGGGAAGATTTTTCACACAATTGGCCCTGAAAAACTTTCAGTGCCAAAGGCAGCACTTATTAGGCAAGAATCTTCAAAGATGTAAGTAATTCATGTCTAGCTGTAAAAAATGGAAATGTGTGATGTATTATTTAGTAACTATTTCCATAATAGGTAGAGAACAATGAAATAGTTTTGTACTTTATATTACTGGACAGTTACAAATATTCTGCCTGTTATTTTCTGGAGAACATCATTTTAATGCACATCTAAAAAGTGGCTTATAAGGCATAAAAGTTAAGAAGGAAACTTAAAGGTTGTAATTTGTAGTTAATGTCTGTGATCCCAAATAACCAACGATTTTAGTAATATATACTGTTTATCACTTTGTGGCTTTCTTTTTTTTTTTTTTTTGTGGCCACACAAAATGTAGAGATGACTGTCCTGCTTTATGATGTTGAATTAGGAAAAAAATTGCAATTTTTGCAACTTACCTAGTTATTTTTCCTAGTTATTGTGTAGTATTTTCAATCCTTTCAAAACATAAATAATTTGCATATAATCTTATTAATCTTCTCATAAACACCAGCCTTCTCTTTTCGTATTGTTCACTTTGTATTGATTGGTACACCAGCCAGATTCCTGTCATAGCTTTTCTGGAAATGAAGGTATAAGAAAATTCTCATCCTTTGCACATTTTTGAAGTTTTATTCCTGTTTGAACTGGATGGAAATTATTACACTGTATGTACTTTGGAAAGCTGAGAGCATTTCTTTATGAATATGTTGCCAGCAACTTGCTGATTGCCAGTTTCTTCAGTGTCCTGTATTCTGAGTCAGTTGTATTGGTGTGCTGGGTATTGGAGCCATTTCAAGTTTTGTTTAAAAGTTTAAAAGGAAAGCCTTATTTTGAAATTAGCCATAACTGTAGAAACACATATATATGTGCTTGCTAAGCATAATGAGTAATGATAGTGAAAAGTTTCAAGCAGCTTCACTTAGCACTTACATAAAGCTTGCAGTGACTCATAAAATTTATACCTTGTGACTTACCTTAATTGTCAGTGTTTTGAACTGTGCAACCATTCAAAAAAAATTAATGTTAAGATATTGATATACAGCAAATCATATTTATCCTTTTTTTTTTTTTTTTGCTAGCAGAGGTTTCCATCTCCCTTGGTGTAAGACTGGGGTTCACAGAATTACAGAGTGGGTTGAGATTAGCAGTCCTAATCCAACAATCTGCTCAAGCAGAGACATTTAAAGCAAGTTGCCCCTTACCATGGCCAGACAGCTTTCCAACTTGTATTATGATATGACAATTTATTTCATTAAATGTGGATGGTTTTCTCTTTTCTACACGTAGACATATTTGAATGATATCACCATAGTTTAGCTGGAGCCTAAAAAACATGAAAAAATAGAAGAGGCAGAAGTTAGAAAGCATATTTTGATGGAGGCCATCAAGCATAAATGTGTTATTATTTATTTTGCTTTTAAACGATGTTGGAGGCATGCAACATCTTGATTGGGGGTAAGTTTTGAATATTTTTCCTAGTACTAGGAGCTTTAACTTATTATTATTTTTGTATTTCTTTCACTGACAGCTCACTGCGCTGACAAATGTGTGCATGGTCGTTGTATTGCTCCAAACACCTGTCAGTGTGAGCCTGGCTGGGGAGGACCCAACTGCTCCAGTGGTGAGTTTTCACCTGCTTCTGCCTATCTCGTTCTCTTTTCACTGCTTTGTCCCCTGTTTGGAGAAGATCATCACTGATCCTGTACTTTGTTTTCTGATTTCTGGTCAGGGTGTCTGAGTTATCAAGTTACTATGTATGGTCTGATATTTCTCCATTTACTTGCAGAGAACTTTTCCCTGCACCAGCACTAAATATCATGGTATTTAATGCTCAGAACTTTTCTTCACTTTACCCAAAACAGAGGTTCTCAAAGTAATTCTGGATTTTTGCTCATTATAACACGTTACCTATTCCCTCTTTCCTCTCCCTTCATAAGGTATTAGGAAATGTCATGTTTAGGCTGACACAACAACCGAATACTTCGTTACAATCACGTTCAAAGAAGGTCACTGTTAGTAACTATCCACTTGAAAGGAATATATATTTTTAGTCATTAATAAAAAATAAATAAATGCTTATCATTTAAATTTCACAGACATATGAAAATCTTATTCATAAAACAGAGTGGATGTCATATTATGCTATGGGTTTACTTAGTAGGAGATTCCTGTAAAAACAGTATTTGTGGAAAAACCTAGATCGTTAGTGGGTCAAAAAGAATTTTGGATTTATTTTCACTGTCATTTTTTTCCCCACTTAATAAAAACAGGGAAACGTGTTTTGTTTCGCTTTGCAGGCAAGGTGCTAATGTTATTCTGTCTGGAACTGATCTGTTGTGAAGGCAGCTTGTTTTATAAAATATGGGGTGAGAAACAGAATTAATGAATTACACAGAAAAGAACTTGTTGTAACTTGTCATTGTAAGATTATTATATTTTGTGTATAGTCTTTGTATATACTTACAAGTGATTCTTTTCATAAACAAAGAAGCAAAGTTCTGCTTCAAGCATAAAATAGTTGGCAACTCTGTATGTAGATCTTGATCTAGAGTGCAGAATTGTCAAAGGAAATTGTCGAAAAATGATAACTTTATGCCTTGTGAACTTTATGCCTTCAACTTTAAGCCTTATGAATTGAGATTCTCTGTAACTACTCAGATTTTTAAAAGTGAGCATTGCTATGCAACATAGAATGAGGACATACCATTATTTATTGAGATTTCCAAATCTGAAACTCACTGAAAAGGCAACTTAGGTGAGTCAGGAATCTCTAAATCTCACTCTGGAAATAATTCTTTCTCTCTCAGGATTTGCTTGAGTCCATTTCCCTTACCTGCCTGTTATAATTCATTTTGAATACATGCACAGCTATTTTCCTGACTGCTTGTCTTGGCAGTCTCAATACCAAAATTATTTTCTCATGTGAATACGTAACAGGCTGAAACTGAGAGAGCCTTCGTGCACCTTTGAACTGTGCAATCTCTGGAGAGTCTTGCAGGCGCTACAGCTAACTGGAACTGCAGATATTTATTTCAGAGTGCTGGCCTAGCCCAAGAAGAAGAAGGGGAAGGTGCTAAGGAGATGAAAGAGTTTTGTTCATACGTTGCTGAGAGATTTGGCTTGGTATTTGTCCTGTTCCATATTTACAAATTTAAGTAAGACATTGGTTTCACTATGTTGTGTGTGCTGCTAGAGTGCTTCTCTTTGTTGCTAGCCATGTGTAATTTCCTTGTCTGTGTGTCTGAGAGCTACAGTGCAGATCACATCAACTTGAAGAGCAGAGAGTACTCCTGGAAAGACAGCAAGTCTTTGGATGTCTAGCATTGAAATTTGTTGCTTACCCTATGTAGGAGATTTTTACATTTTTCTTTTAACTGTATTTTCTGCCTGATCTTTGGCTTGATTAGTTTTAGTAACACAAAAGCACAATAAGGTAGCATAAAGAGCTACTTTATTTTTGTAATCATTTCCCTTGATATAGTAAGTTACAAATTAAAAGCAAAATTCATGCAAATTGCCATAGTGTGTTTGTATGTATCATATAAATATTTGACTACTTAATTGAACAATAAAGAAGGAACAATGACTAAGACACCTTAGTACTTTTGTTGGGCAGACATTCAGGGATGTAGTCAATGACCAGATAAGATACTGTGATGAAAAGGGGGATATTATTCTCAGGGTGAGTGGTATTAAGCAAACTCTCAGATTGGAGTTCTAGATTCATTTCCATGGAAGCAACTGTTCCACATTTGCAGAAAAAAACTTTTCACAGAACTGCAGAACTGAACTTTTTTTTTTTTTCCTTCTCTTCCAAAATACAATCTTTTCTATATTCGAATTGATTATTCTCCCTACACTGTCATTTCATCTGTAAGTGTCTGAGAACAGAGTAAGGCCTGGAGCAGTTTCTGTCCATCTGCCATGCCACCCACCCCACGGTCAACTTTACCTATTGTTTCCCAGTTCTATTTACCCACTTTAAAATATTTTTTTAAACCATATGCTGTCACTTCTATGGTGCAGTGGATTCCTGGGAGGTAACTGCAGTTAAGTGCTTTCTAAACACTTTAATGTTCACTAAAAGTGACAGAGTGATTGCATGGAGTAAATTGGTGTATTGTACAGTAAAAGCTGAATAAGCAAGCTTCCTCCTGATCTTTGCATACCAGTGTGTGCTATGGTCTAATAACCTTTTCAGGGACTAAACTTTTCAGAGACTCATTTCTTTTTGTGGCAACCATTATTTCCTAATAGCCTAATAGGTCAGTGATTGCTTTCAATTGAGGGGAAAGGGATGAAGATTTAAGTAGAGTACTCTGTCAGTATTCTTTCTCTGAGGCTGTCCTCATTCAGTGCCTATTTCTAAATCAACTCTTAACTTTCCCCTCGTTCACATTCTCTGCCTTTCTGAAAATCCTGCATCTTTCTTGAGAGGAACATATGAATGGATGTTTTCTTCTATGAGTAAAACTGAGATTTGTTTTCCAAATTTGACTCATTAATTAATATCTCCCTGGAGAATGTTGTCTGTGTGAAATGTATTTTTTCTTCAGGCCTTTTCTTTTTAGTTAAAAGTATTGCAGTCTATTACTCAGTGTTGGCTTGCAGTGACTTTTGGTGGGAAATGAAGGAGATGATGCTAACATACATAAATCTGAATGGTAAAACAAGTTGAATTAGGTGATCTCTCATTAACAGAACCCTCCCATTCTAGAAGAAATAATGAAACTCACGCAAAACAAGTTATTCTAATAATAATTTATTGACTGAGCACAGTAGATGAATGACAAATGAGTGGGCAGAAGACATGCTGAACCTGTATCTCAGATCGAGTGAGTCAGCACAACATGTGTGCTGTCAGCATCACTTTGAAGAAATTTTTGTGAACTTCAGGAGAACAATTTAATTAATTCTAGTCTGAGGAGAGGGTAAAACTTTAGAAAAGGGCTAGGGTGGTAAAGATAGCCTTGTTTGTATGTTAAAAATGTGAACAAATAGATTCTATCAAAAAAACATGACAGCAAACCAATAAATCAACCAAACCTACCTATTTTAGATTATTTTTTATATCAGATTTTTAAATTACATGTGTCAAGTTGGTTGTTGTGTGAGAACATTTTTGACAGCAGGCTGTGTATAAAGTAGTCTTCTATAAAAGTTGCTATATACAATGATAACTGGCTTTCAGATGTGTAGTACTGATCAAACTATCTTTTCCATTTGTAAATTACTTTTTCTGCCCATTTTCTATTCTCATTAGTAGAACAGTATTTGCTGTAAAACATAAAATATGGACCTGATTGTCAGTTTTTTTAGGTACACATGCAGCCTAATGTGGAGCCCCAGTAAGCAATCAGGACATTCCCTTTGTTTTTCTTCTCATGCCTACTAGTCCACAAATAATTCAGTCAGAATCAATAGGACAGTTTCTGCATAAGCTTGGAGCAGGGGCAAAAGGCCAAAATCGATATTATACTGGTTTGACTGCAAACGATACAGCATTCCTGGTCCCCAGCTGGCCTGAGTAATAAAGGAAAAAAAGGAATGACATGTATTTTATTCTGGTTTATGATAAATATGCTAGAACTGCCTGTGGAAACATGAATAAGCACTTTCTGTTTGATTGTTTAATCTCAGATTTGTTTGAATTGCTGTATTTTCATCTGTAATTCTGATGGTGATTAATAGTAAATCTATATATAGTCCAGGTACAGTATAATCTACTATAGTCTGAGGGCACAGAGGTAGAACAAGTGGCATTAAGGCATAATTTGGTCCCATGGTTTTATAAACCATAAGAAGAGAAGCATTGGCTTTTTCTTTAATATTTCAAGCAGGGTGTTTAAAGCTGTAATCTCAGAAAACCATCTTTTAACCTATAAATACAGTTGTTAAGGAAACTTCTAAGGTGTAGTAGCTCTGCTACAGTTAGATTTCACTTACTGTTGTGGTTGTTAAGTTTTCAAATCTTACTGTTTTCTTCATGATACTTGGCAGATGCAGAATATGGCAGAAACTGGATTGCTTGGCACAGCTTGTGTGAGACACTCACGTGAGTTGCAGGCGCTGCCAGTTTCTCAGTGGAGCTTGTAATATCCATTAACCCTTATGAAGTGCATGCGTGAATGCTTTCTGCAGGCACCTTTGCACCCCAAATGAAACAGCCCCCTAAGTGCAGGCAGGGTGCCCAGGAGCATCTCGTGTGTTCAGTAGCACAGCCAGTGAATCTTGAATGCTGGCACTGCTTTCTGATTTTTTTCTCAAAGACATTCTAAGAGCTTACAAGGTATACATAAAGAACTAGCTCTTGCTTAAGTTTACTAAGCTATAGCAGTCTTAAGGAATATATTCTGATTTTAAACACATGCTCGAGTTGCAGAAGCTTAATTTGTGGAACTTAGAAATTGCTAAACACACTAGTGAAACTGCAGTGTCCTGATACAGAGATGTTTGCCTTATGGGTTGTAGAGAAATAGCTCATTCAAGTTATGTAGAACTTTTCCTTCCAGCTTCTGAATGGCCATATGTGCAAATACATCCTGTTAGCAAAAGTGACAACACACCATAAGCAGTTTAAATTTAAACTTTTCCTGTTACACATAACATTCCCATGTCCTT